TTTTTTTTTTGTATAGTTTTATTGTTGTTAATTGCCATCGAATTGGTTCTGACTCATATCGACCCTGTATAGGGTTTCTGAGGAGCAACTGGTGAGTTTGAACCACCGACCTTATGGTTCAAACCAACTTTGCAGTCCAGTACTTATCCTTCAGAACCACACCTTATCCTACAGTTTTGCTGAGATATAATTCACATACTATACAATGCACTCATTTAAAATATATAAGTTAATATTTGTTGAAAGTTCACAAAATGGTACGACCATCACCACATAATCATTTTAGAACATTTTCATCTTTCCAAAAAGAAACCACTTACCCACCAGCAGTCACTCTACATTTCTCCCCTTCTTACCACACTTCCAGTCCTAGATCACCAATACTGAATTTTTATGCAAATAATGCTCATACTAAATGCATTATTTGTGAACAATACAGTACTTTCTTTCACTATACATTTGTGTATGTTAGACACTTTCTACAAAGGAATGAAACAGTATGTGGTCTGTAGGGTAAATATGTGACTGCTAGTCGCTAGGTCCACAGTTCAAGCCCACCAACTGCTCTGTGGAAGAAGGATGAGGCTTTCTGCTTCCATGAAGATTTATAGCCTCAGAAATTCTACAGAGTCACTATGAGTCGGAACTTACTCAAAGGTACCTAACAACAACAGAGGGCAAGGCCACCATTCATTGGTCAGTTTGTCACACTGTGGTGGCTTGTGTGTTGCTGTGATGCTATGCCACCGGTTGTCAAATAACAGCAGGGTCATTCCTAGGGATAAGTTTTAGCAGAGCTTCCAGGATAAGATAGGCTAAGGAGAAGGAGAGACGGACCACTTCTGAAAGGTTCACCACTGAAAACTATGAATGAGTAGCTGTGGAGTTAGCTATACGGCACGTAACCACAGCAGTAGGGGCGAGGAGGATGCTTTATTCCTTTCTGACCCCAGTACTTGGTATGGACAGTAGAGCCAGTAAGATTGCTTCATCCTGCTTGACTAGTAACACAACAGAATGTGACGTAGCCTTTGAAAGTGACAAGATGACCGCGTGACTATACGAGGATTATAGACAATCATCAAAACACTTTAATTTGTGCATTAAGAGTTGGGAAGGGAATATTAAGTATGTCTCAATATTTCCAGCAACCCAGTCTCCAACAGTAGGGAAGTGACTTTCAAGTGTTTGTTCATCAATGAAATTTGTTATTGTTGCCAAGTGCCATTGAGTTGTTTCCAACTCATAGCTACCCTCTATAGGGTTTCCGATGAGTGGCTGGTAGGTTTAAACTGCTGACCTTGTGGTTCACAGCCCAGTGCTGATCCTGCAGCGCTACATTATAAAGATTGTATAAACAGGAGAAAGTTCGAAAGCATGCATGTGCTGTTCCAGTGTTACTAAGTTAAAAATAAGCAAATGTTCACTGAGTTCTTTATTTATTTAACTAAAATTACTTAAATTTGTTATGTTTTTGCATACTTTACGTAAAGTAAATGTATGAATAGTGCTTTTAAAATCTGAAACATTGACAGTGAGGACTCTGAGACCTTTAACTGGATTAAAAGTAAATTTGAGACTATTTCTTTGTTAACCCTTAATAAAATAGAGTCTTATTTGTGATCGTTTAATATAATATTTTCAGGTTCTTAAAGATTACTGAACTATTTGTTCATTCAGGGCATTCAGGGGCTTGAGGTATAACAGACTGTTTCCAGTGTAGTCTTGTTATTATTAGTTGTTATTGAGTAATGGTGACTAAATCTGATTTAGTCATAATCATAAAACAATCTTACAGGTGGTAGTGGAAAACAATCTTATAGGTAGGGTGAAAAATATTAATACTTTCCAAACATGATAATGTTCATACGTATTATTTCACAAAGTTACATTTTCAGATTGTCAGTACCCAAGTTGGATTGAGCTTTTTTAGAGGAGATTCAGGTTTGGTTTTGTTTTTATAAACTTTTTATTGTGAGTTGAGTGAAAGTTTACAGAGCAGATAGTCAATTTTACACTCAATAAATCATATACTTTGCTTCATTACAATGATTGCAGTCTCCTCCATGTACCCTCAGTTAACAGTATTTACCTCTGTTCTCTTTATTTTTTTTATTTTTTGGCCTGGCAATATGTTTTTGAAAAATGATTGATTGAAAACCCTATGGAGTGCAGTTCTACTCTAACACACATGAGATTGTTATGAGTTTTTTATTTTAAGGTTTTTATTGTGGATTGAGTGAAAGTTTACAGGGCAGATCATCAGTTTTACATTTAATAAATCATACACCTTGTTTCATTACAATGATTATAATCTCCTCCATGTACCATCAGTTAACAATATTTCTCTCTATTCACTTTAGCTTTTTTTTTTTT